CGAGTGTTGGTTTAGTCAGAGCAAACGTTCTCCTCCTTTCCTCAACAAAACCAGACACTATCAAGCTCAAAAATGCAAAGAAGATACCAGTTCCTATTCTCTGTAAGAGAGTGATTCCAGTGTCTACACCGGTGATTCTTCTCAAGGTAGGCACGAGGACACGGTCGTAGATTATGATGAAAACAGTCATTCCTGTCATCAAGAAGACCACATAGGTGGCTGCAGGAATCACAAATCCTCCTGAACCTAAGCGACGATCGCTCTGGAGGGCTTGGAAGACGGGGTAAGTCATTTGTTGCGTGATGGTCAAGTAGTAGATAGATGAAGCAAACCATATAGGAAGCACTCTCACAATGCACTTCACTTCTTCAACTTGTTGCATTGTACATAGCTCCCATGGATCAGTTGGCTTACCATCAGCTTCCAACTTGTCTTCAGGAGCCAAGATTGCTGCCTTATCAAGAAACCTACCAAAAATAGAAAGGTTTCTTCCTCAGTAAACATAAAACAAAACTACAAAAGTAATAAAAGACTTTTAAAGATAAACTAGTGTTTGGTCCGTGTGTTAGCCAGTCTTGGCCAAAGCAGAATGAAACATTTAGTCTTAGACCCCAAAAAATTTGAAGAAAATTACATAGATTCTCAAAAAAAAATTTTAGGCCGCCAAATTTCTATAAAAAGAAAATAGTTGAAATCTTTAATAAATCGCCACTAACTCTCTAAATCTCAGGGTCGGCCCAATGTTTCTTTACCTGAACTGGTCGGTGTACTTGAGCTTAGAGTTTGCATAGTTTGTTGGGTAGTAGTTGTAAAGGTTAAGCCAAGGCTGCTTCACATGCTTTAAACCACGTTTCTTGATAGCAACCGTTATAACTTGAGCTATACCAGCCAATGGACTACCTGAGGCTTTGATCTTGACATACAACTTATCACCCGCAAAGAAGATCACACAGGCCAAGAACATTAACACGACCGGGATGGTTAAACCGATGGTCCAACTGACGTTAGACTGGATGTAGACAACTAGTGTCAGTGACAAGATCTGCGCGAAGGTGAAGGTGAAGAAGTACCAGTTGAAGAAACTATCAATCCCTCTCTTCCCTGACTCACTCTTGGGGTTAAACTGATCAGCACCAAAAGCAAGATTACATGGTCTGATCCCACCTGCTCCCACTACAAGAAAGCCAAGACCCATTAGTAGAAAGGCTATCTGGCCACCACTTGGTCCTGTACATGTGAGGGCTGTTCCACATGGAGCTGGATGTAGTTGTGGTACTGCAGCAGTTAATAGTATCACAAATGATCCCTACCAAAAAAAAATTAAAAACATTTCATTGATTAAGATTTTTAGATTATAAAACCAAGAATGCTTGTAGAGGATGGATTATTACAAGAAAACATGCGATGACCGCGACGGTTAGTGTCTTGTAACGACCAAAGTAAGTGTCGCAGAGGAAAGCAGCAACGAAGGTTCCGAAGTNCAGTTAATAGTATCACAAATGATCCCTACCAAAAAAAAATTAAAAACATTTCATTGATTAAGATTTTTAGATTATAAAACCAAGAATGCTTGTAGAGGATGGATTATTACAAGAAAACATGCGATGACCGCGACGGTTAGTGTCTTGTAACGACCAAAGTAAGTGTCGCAGAGGAAAGCAGCAACGAAGGTTCCGAAGTTGATTGTGCCACTAAAGGCGTTGATGATTGTTGCAGCTGTGATACTCTTCATGTTGAAGACAGCAGTTAAGTAAACCAGAAGGTTTGATAGTGTTCCAATGATCCCAAGCTTCTCAAACGTCTCATTTCCTGGTAGTAACAACATGCAAGAACTTTTAGCAAAAAAAAAAAAAAAAAAACAAAACAAGTTGATCATAAGACTTTGTCCTCAGAAACCAAACCAAGAATCAAACATTGGTTCTTGACCATTTATGTTCTGAACCCTCCTCAAATTCAAGATCTAACTCATTTCTTTGGGCTTAAATATTTGACTATGTCAAAGCTTAAGACAACAACACAGAGAATCTCACCAATAATAAAATCAAACCAACAACTCACGAAACCAACAAAATATTGTTTCTAGAAACAGAGAAGAAAGTTATCAAAATTACTAAAATTATAGGGAATTTCTAGAAATATAGTTTCTTAAGTTGTGGAAATTAGTAATCACAAAAAATAATAAATTTTTCATCAAAATTTAATATATATTTTTAATGTTCGTAAAAACACAAAAGTATACTTTTAGAAGTAGAGTGAGTAATAAATAGTGTCTAGAAACAAGAGAAGAAAGTCAATAAGAAAAAAAAAACGGTGAATGATAGTAATATATTTGCGTTACCAATGATGAAGGGCATGACTTTCCAGCCTCTATAAACGACTTTAGTCTCCTCAACAGAATCAACCGCCGTAACAGAGCCATCATACACGGCGGAGGAAGGTTTCTGGTGATCGGTGGACTCAACTTCGAGAGGCTTTCTCTCCATTTTTACTATAAACTACAAAAGTAGTTAAAAGTTGTGTTTTCTTTGTTTTTGTATATGTTATTGTTGTCTCAAAAGGCTAATGATGACTATGTTCTTTCTCATCTTAGAGTTGTCTCTATTTATAGTGGTAAGAAGAAAGAGGATAGTGGAGATGTTGGAATCTAGACAAATTGGTAATTTGTGAATATGGCCGTGAAAGAGAGCTGTGTTAGTGATTATAATATTGGTTTTTAAATTAGTTTTTTTTTTACGGAAATTAACTTTAAAAGAAAAACTGAAAATTCATGAAATGTAGATTCCATTAACAAGTGCTGCGGCCCCATCATGAACACTTACTCTTTTATAACGGCACGTTTTTTGAAGCTCTCCGTCCATTTTCAATCCAATTGTTTTGCATCATCCATTTTAGTATTTTATCTTCTTCTTTATTTTTGTTTACTTTTTTAATTTGTATTCATTAATTTTAACGATTATATCATTAATATAAGCAATATCATAAGAACATGCTCCATATTGTGAAGATTAAATGTATCCTTTCTTCATTAATTAATCATATACTAAAAATATATAATATCTTAGGAGATGTTAGTAGAAGCTAACCAATGATAAGAAAAAATAAGATGTCAGTAAAATTGACTAGATAACAATAAGAATGGCCTCAATCTCACCTTCAATCCCTTTCATTTTACCAACCTTGTCCACAAATAAAATCCAGAAGCATATGCTCTCATATTTATTTTCTTGTAGTTGTCAAAGAAATGCAACTAACAAAAATATAGAAAGAATTGTGGACTGTAAAATAAATTTATAAACATTGCTTTGTTTCATATAGCTGAACTAGATAACAAAATATGAAAAAGACTTAGTAATCATCGGTTTGTATTCATTGAGTAATTTTGGATCCAAGCATATGTACTGATTGTAAGTTTTCTTCTTTTTTTCTTTTGCTGAAATTTGGACTGATTGTAAGTTTGAGAAATTAATATTTGACCTCATTATATTCATAAAAAAACTAAAATTATAGATAGACGAAGCCATAGAGTATGATGATTCATTTGTAAACAAAAACTTCCCGAATCCATTTTAAACCAATAACACTTGGATTATGTGCCTCTAAGTAGCTAAATGTATAAATCATGTCTGCAACACTATCCTTGCCTAATTTAGACAGTACGAATAAGATTTTATTAAGTGACGTTTCTTCGTATAAGAAAGTGTGATGTTAGATTTTTTATATTTACACCTATTGTTCTAACTTTGATCTAGACGGCGTCTGCATAATCAACACACCAAACCTAAACAAAACGATCTTCAAAAAGACTGACGTGCGTTCGAAAAATCGATTATATCCACCTAATCAGTGATTTATATAAATCGTCTAATTGCCGCCTAAAAAATTATTTTACATTGTAGTATTCAACTGATCCTAGAATGTCCAGTTTTATGGCTAAACCTAACTAATCCAACCAAGTCATACGACTTTGTTTCTTTGATCGCCTTTGTAACCTAGTTCCTTATATTCTAGATTTTTCACACATTTAATAAAATATTTAATAAATGCATAAAATTTTGTGATTATCTTTATCCATAATTTTAAACCAATAAAAATATAATAAATTCAATTAAGTTTTTGAAATTTACAATTAATCACTATTATTTGATAAAATATTCATTCATAATACAAAAAAATATATCTTTTTGAAACACATTTTTTTTTCTTGAATCTGTAATTTATTGAAACAGAGAACTAAACAAAAAGTTAAAAATTTTAAAATAGAGATGGTCGTATCATTGGATCGGTTTTGCAAAAAAATTTACAATATAGTAAATGTATTGTTATTTTTTTATTCTGATAAAAGAAGGTTGTCTCCAGCAAGAAAACACACACACTAAATTTGACTCAGGAAAAATTTTCCTTTCTACTCTAGTACTAATAAATGTGTCGTTTCGTATACATGTATTTGAAGTCAACTAGGCAGTTTATATATTAGCCTGGTAGGCGGGACCGTTACATTTCATCTTTTGGAACTATATACAGAGAAGTCAAAACGTTTGTTTTAGGATGAGAAACATTAAGTAGATAGGTAAACATGTGGAGCAAGGGATCTATACAATAAGTAAATAGCAAAAGCGTTTCTTTTGTTCCAATGCTGAAACGCCAATGAGATTTACACAGATTAAAGAGTTGGAACGTGACTTGATAGTAAAGTGGTATACGTATCTACAAATTCAATTCTTTGCTCAGTAGTGTAGTTTGAAAGCGGACCACACACTCGAACACATACGTATACATGTAAAAAAAAAGCGTGTAAACATCTACGCATGCGTTACATATGAAAAGGACTACCGCAAGCGTCGAAAACTTCACTCATTTAAAAACTCTTTAGTTAGTACTAGTATTAATTAAATAATACTAGTAACTAATACCATGAGATGATATTTGATATATATATATATACATCGGCTGAAAATATATATATATATATAGATTTATATTGTTTTTCCTATTAGCCAACTTGATGATTTGTTTTTCTGTTTTGTTTTTTTTTTTTTTTTGGTTTTTTTAACTTGATGATTTGTTAACAATATTCGCTGGATGAGGACTTGCCTTGTTAGTTGTTAGTACAGGTTAAAAATCGACTTTTTTCCAGTGCGAATTAAATTGCTAGTTCAACGTTCTGATAGTAATACCAAGTTTCACACTCCAAACTAAACTATAGTTCGATTAGTGTCGTTTCGCGAAATGATTTTGTGGACAATTTGTAGGAAATGGTTGAGTTGAATAGTTTCAAATTCTGGTCACGACTCTCACTGTGTACGCAACAATAATTCTTATTCCTGTTGAATTATTGTGGGTTCACCTCATGCTCCAACTTTTTTTTATTTGTAGATGAAAGGGAAATTAGCCCAATATCCTAAAAAAAAATTAACTAACTAACAAAACAAATTTCCCTCTCTCCTAATTTCATTTCCTATCTTTCTCTTACACTCTCTTTAAAACTTAATTATTTTTTATTATTATTTTACAAAATCACCCAAGATGAAATTCACGAGATCGATAATCACATTTTTTTAAAAAGCTCAACTCCTAATAATAATTTCATTTCACTTCGATTTAAGGATTTAAATTAAAAAGCCGATAAACTATATATAGTCTTGGACCAAAATATTTAATGAAGACTTCCTTCTTATTATAATTAGTAATGTCATTTTTAATTTTACTTTTGTAAAAATATCGTTTTCTGCTGTCAATGCAATATTTAAACCCTATTAATTTATCTTCTTAATTGGAAATATCCTAGTTAACATACGTCCTATATTTTCAAACTATACCTAATTCAAACTCACAAATTAATGGTTTACAATTTAACATGCATCGTACAAAGATTCTCTTAATACAATATATTGCGTTTATAAGCTGTATGTTTAGTCAAAATTTTGGCGCAAATGATAATGAGTCAATGCCACTGCTACAATTTTTAGTTTCTTTAATAAAGCCATAAACGCAATCAAATTCTTTGATGGAAGCTAACACGGGCGGATTTTTTTTTTGTTTTCTGGGCGCACCAGTAACACGAGTTAAACATTCCAAACGTTTTCATGACACTTACGGTACTTATATTAGATTGTATAACGAGAAAAAAAAAGAAATAAGTATTAGATTTGAATAAACAAATTTAATGGCTTCGGCACTGACGCGGTTACAATAATCTGAAGTGAGACCAAAAGTGTACAAGCACCTCCACAAGAGTCAACCTTCATGCTCATTACATACACATAACTGCCCAGACCTTTTTAGCATAGGGCCATTTTCACGTGATCGATGATAAAAAAGTACATGTATAACATTATCCTTATATCATGCAGTATATGTTTGATTATAGTTATATCATACAGTATACAGTGTGTCAAATAAAGTTATCTATGTTTTGTTTCTTGACTTCAATGATTTCAATCGGTAGATGAGGGGGACAATGAAAATCAGTACACCCTAGTGAAAAATGAAAACCTATTTTAAGGCTAATTTTGAATATCAAAAGTCAAGTGAAAACTGTATTCTTATGTTCATGCAAGCTTTATCTCGTTATGAGGTTTTGTTGCCTTATTTTGTATACGTTTATTTTATTTTTTAATTTAAAAGCTATTTGTCAAAAAAAGAAAAAATTAAGAATAAAGCGAAAAATAATCTATTGTTTTTTTTGTATATGGTTGGATTTTTAATCATATATAAGTTTCGTACGTACACATCATTTTTGTATATGGTTGGATTTTTACTTATATATAAGTTTCGTACATATACATCATCTCCTGAAGTCTTCATCCGGGTCTGTAATGTACAGTGTGTAGTGTTCCAATAAACTACAATCATTTGTACATGTCGGTTTGTAAGAGATGATCGGTTCATCTCTTAGCATTAGTCGAAATTCAGATCAAACGGTGTGATAGCCAATCCACTTTATAGTACTAAGTGCATTTCTCCCAGAACCGATCGGATCAACCGATAAGGTTTATAAAAAAAAGTACAATCATTTGTTTTGGATGCATAGTTGTCTATAGATTTGTATTTATATAATGTTAAGTTTAAAAGTTTAAGTTATCTATTTTGTTAAAATTATATTTACATATTTTAAGTAATCTCTTACAGATTTTTCTTCCTTTTAACTAATTTTAATCTTGTTGTTTATTGTATTTTGTATATAATTTGATAGCATTTATTTACATTTTTTATTCTACTTCATTACTTATCTTTATTATAATAATTTAACAACATTTATTTTATATATTAATCATAATAGTTTAACATATTTGAAAGAAATTAATCTATTTGAGTAAAGAATTCAAAATTTGTGTCTATTTTGGTACGCAGCATTCTTTCTAGTATTGGAGTTTTTGGGTTTTAAAATTAGACTCCATCTGAGTATTATAAACTTTTGGATAGGTTTAGTAAGCAGACTTCTAATACCCCTAACATAATCGTGATAATAGGCAAGAAATGAAGA